AAAGGTTGGCTTGTTGTGTGGTGTGCGGCTTGACATTGTCATACAAATGCTGAAAAACACTCTTCTGTCTGGAGGGTTAAGTGGGTAACAGAGAAGCCGACCGTTTTCAAACCCACCTGCTAAACCACGCTGAATACTGAAGTGCCGGAAGGGTGGAGTTCATAAGCAATTTGGCCGCTGCAAAATGCACAAATTCAGCTACATTTGCAGCAGGAAGAAAGGGGCATGTTTGCTCAGGCCCATCAGCAGGGATAGGGCATTGCAAGGAGTAGGGGCTTCAGATACCCATTTTTGGACAATCAATAGAGCAAATGTATTGCCTTTTGGGAGTGGGGGATTTAAAGATTTTACCTGATGGCTGATAGATACTGGCTGCAGCTCCCTTGAAATTTGGAACTGCAAAGATATGTGATTGGTTTTACATGTTTTGGGATGTGCTGCGATTCCTGCATTGCAGGGGCTTAGACTAGATGACTCTTGAGGTCCTCTTCCAGCTCCTATGATTCTGTGTTCTAAATCAGGTACGGGGAATCTTCAGCCCACCAGCAAGTATGGCCGACTTCTCAAAGTTGACCCCTGAAAGGGGAAGGAGGAGGGGTCTGCTTTCTGAAGCACTTAAAGGTCCAGAAACTGGAAGGAAGCAAGCAAGCTAAATACTGTACTGGGAAGGGGCCAGGAGCAGCCCAGGATTGGAGCCCTAGCGGCACAGGCATTGGCAAAAGGGAAAATTGGCTGCTCCTTCCTCTGGGCTCCCTTTACAGCCTTCTGCTGCTCCTCTTGCAACTTGGGTAGCTTGTCTTAATTGAGGCACTCTCTGTACTGACTTAATGGGAAAGGCAGATGGATCAAGAGAAGGAGCAAAGAGAGAGAGACAAATGGAGCGATATGGGTTGGGAGGCAAATAAGGAGTCATCGGAAGCCCGATAAGCAAGCCTGACAGAGAGTAAAAGAGATGTCCTGAAAGCACCTCTTCGCTGCTAAGTCCACAGCCTTTATCCATACCTGACAGTGGAGATGAGACAAGAGCTTTGCTATATATGCCATGAAAAGTAACCCCCGTTCAGCAATTTTTCAAGGGGTGCTGTGGAAAGGAGTAAGCGCTGGCCCATTCAGAGTAAGGGCAGTGTTAACCCAGGAAGAACCACTTCCTTTCTCTCTCAACTGGCTATGTTACTTCATCACATAGCCAAAGTCAACTGGTAGTCCCACATCATTTTATTTTATTTTGAATATTTGCAGATAGCTTGATCCACTTGGTCTCGAAGCGGTGTGTGAAATATACTGAATGTTAGTCCTGCTCCAAGTGCACTCATTGTCTTTCACAAAGTTGGCCAACTTCAACCCACCATTTTCAATCAATCTACTCTGAGCTTAATTAGATACAACCTACCGTGGCTGGAAACAAACCCCCACAAACCAATTAAAAATAAATCTGCATAAAAACCACCATCATTAAGTACAGCAGCAGCATCAATAAAAACTTTGAAACAAATCAAGGCAGCTAAATTGTGTGTCCTCTGGACAGGCTTGTTGAAAATGCTGCCTCCTAACAACTTTTCTAAAACAATTTGGGGGGGGGCTGCCTGTTATCAGTAAGCAGGGCATTGCAGAGCACAGGTGCTGCCCATGTGGCCCCTGATTGGCTGAGATCACACTGCCTGGAAGATGCACATGCCCCTCAAAATAAAATGGTGAGGAAGCAGCAGTTGGTGTGGCCCCTGATTGGCTGAAATCACACTGCGATCCTCGATTGGCTGGAATCACAAACCCTGGAAGATGTACACACCCCTCCAAGTAAAATGGTACGGAAGCAGCAGTCTGCATGGCCCCCAATTGGCTGGAATGACACTGTGATCCCTGATTGGCTGGAATCACACTGCCTGGAAGATGCACACACCCCTCCAAATAAAAACGGTGCAGAAGCAGCAGTCATCAACCAAACAGGAAAGGGGTTGGGACATCCCCCCCCCCCATAAATTAGCATTCACTGCAGACTGATTTAGAAAGCATGGCCCCATCACATAGATATGCAGGTGGAAGAGGCAGCCCACTTTTGGAGGACAGAGCTATCCTAGGCCTGTCTCATCCACAATTGCCCTCGACCTCAGGACCTAGCCAAGAAACAAGCCCATGTCGCCGCTATTCTCTCCCTCGTTCCTAGAATCAATACAGACTGAATGTGACCTTGTTCTTTCTGCCACAGAAAGGACAAGAGCCCTTCAGAATCCCATTGGCTCCAGTGCTTTGTTTTCTGCCTCTGTGGTTTAGATGTTTTGTTCTAGGTTTTTTTGGTTTTTTCCCCCCTGAAGGCTTTTGGAGACGTGCCAAGAGGAACTTGCTGGAACATTCCACAGTACAGAACGGCTACAGAGGGTGGGGAGAGACACCGCTTGACAGAAGTCTAGACCCTTCCATCTAGCCTGGAAAAGCTATGTGGAACAGGAGAGGCAATCTGATGGCCTCAAAGTGCGGTTGGACTCCAGTTACCATGATGCCTGGCCACTGGCCATGCTGACCAGGGATGATGATGGGACTTGCAGTCCAACCACTCCTGGAGAGCACTAGGCTCTTCCACCCCAAATAGCAGCGAGGGGAAATTCAATTCCATTGGCAGTTGAAGTCAATCCTGCCTCATTTTTCACTTCCCAAAAGGATAATGAGGACCAAAACCCAGGCGCCCTCTGAAATTTGTGCTTCTGCAAATATTGCAGTGTTGTTCTATGGCTAAGTGCAAAAGCAACGTGTGCATTACAGTGCATATATTAATGAAGACAATGGCAAGGAAATGTTTTATATTAGGGGGAAACATGCTTTGCAAAAACTGTATATATTAGGCAAAATCGCATACCAATAAATAAATAAATAAGTGTGTATCTTAGGAGAAATTCACACCAAAATGCTAAATTTTCACAACTTTTTTAAAGGAAAAAAAAATCACAACCCGATGTGGAAATGACTGAACTGCAGCAAAATGAAAAACCAAAATTGATGGATTCGCCCAGCTCTATCTGCTGTGTTACAGAAAGGGAGGCAGGTTGCTACTGTGTCTTCCCTGGGGGGTTGCCAGAGGCATCTGGCTGGCCACGGGGGATAAACAGGAGACTCGGCTAGAAAGATCTTTGGCCCAACCCAGCAGTCCGCCTTCGTCTGTGCTTAAGACCAGAGCTAAGCCCAGCGGCCTTGATGCAAGATGGATTCCAGAGCTCTAAGGCATTTAAGTTCACCTTTCCACCAAGGTGCTCAGGTTGGTTCACGTGGTCCTCCCCAACAACCCTGTGAGGTAGGTTAGACTGAAAAGGCAGAAACAACTTTCCTATGTGTAGAAATTAAACAAGTGATGTTGCCAAGTTGTCTTCCAGTCTCAAGCTCCCTCAGCTTAGATGACGGGAAACAATAACTGCACAACAGGCGGAAAATCAACAGGTGACATTCTGTTACAGTCCCACACCCCAGAAAGCCAGGTCTGTTTAACTTCTGCTCGTTCTATGACTGCTAAGAGCAACATGCTGGGAAGGAATGACAAAGGGGGATCTGTTTTGAATAACCAGTAACATTTGTGCGGTTGGACTAGATCCCTTCCACCTCTACAGTTCTATGATTTTATATAAATGCATTTCATGCACCGGTAGCGTTTAACCAAACCGATCCGGGAAGGAATGTCCCTGAGCCCACTTCCTAGTATTCCCACTAATGAGGAAAAAGAAACTGGGGTGATTGACATGTACTTGGGCAAATATTTCATTCTCCTTTAGTCAACTGCTTTAAATATGTTAAAGCTATAAAACGATACCCACTTGGTTTGGGAGTTAAGTCCCACTGGGCCCAGCATGGCTTACTTGTGAGTAGGCATGTATAGATCATATTGAAGGTAGTCTTAAAATTATTGGGTCAACCTACATTTTGTGCATTGCACTTTCATGCCCCCTGCCCTGCAGTGGATTAAGTGGTACTCCTACTCAGAGTAGACCTATTGAAAATAATGGAAATGATTAATGTGGCTCCACTCATTTCAGTGGGTCTACTCTGTTCAAATGCAGATACAGCCCTCAGACTTCCACATACATATGCAACATAAAATTCCCAATGGCCACATTGTACATTCTGCATGTTCCAAAAACCATCACTGTATATTTTTGAATGCAATAGCGACATGTGCCCAGATAACTACCTGTGATCATAATATTATTATTATTTTCTACCCATCCTTTCCCCTGTATCAGAGGCAGGGAACCTGTCACCCTTCATGTGTGGACTCCAGCTCCCATGGATGATGGGTGTTGGAGTCTAACCACATTGGGAGGGCAACCCTTGCCATAAAGCACCATGAGTCAATCATGTCAGGTGACAGATTCTAACACTGGCATTAGATCCCCCACCTCCACTTGCAACCTCTGTGTGTGACGTGAGAGCAAGTCTTGAGGGCTGCAGCTCACTAGGAGGGCATGCGCCTTGCTCACAGAAGGTCCTGAGTTCAATCCATGCCATTCTGCAGGTAGGGCTCTTGGGAGAGTCCCCTAGTCTGAAATCCTGGAGAGCTGCAGCCTGTCGGTGTAGACCAAACTTGGGTCTCCAGGTGTTTTTGGACTACAGTTCCCATCATCCCTGACCACTGGTCCTGCTAGTTAGGGATGGTGGGAGTTGTGGTCCAAAAACAGCTGGAGATCCACAATATGGAGCTACCAAGTCAGTGACTTGACTCTGTAAGGCAGCTTCCTATACTCCCATGTCCTATGCATAAAAAGGAACCCACCCATGACAAATGGAGTCCACCAGCAACACATTGATTCTTGCCAGATGTTCCTCTCTCACACACACCCTTTCCTTGTCCTAGGCTAGCTTCCCAGAACAGTTTTATTGAGCTACTGGTGGGCCACCCCTGTGTTCTGTGTTGGGTCAGTTCCCTGTTGCGCAAACCTAATTGAGCAAAGTGGACTCAGCTGCACTCACAGCAGTCTGTCCTGACAATCTTAAACAAGATCGGCCAGTGGTCTGATTCATTAGCTTCCTGGATAGCTCAATCAGTAGAGCACGAGACTCTTATTCTTAGGGTTGTGGGTTTGAGCCCCATGTTGAGCAAAAGATACCTGCATTGCAGGGGGTTGGACTAGATGACTCTCAGGGTTCCTTCCAACTCTGCAATTCTATGATTCTATAAAGCAGCTTCCTATGCTGGCAGACCAAGAATGCTTAAAGATGGACCAGTTTGGGCTAGCAGGCAGGCACCTAGTTATGATCAGCTATGGAGCTTTCTGCAACAAGATGTGGCAACGGCCACAACAGGCCTGGGTGGCTTTAAGAGATGATTAGATGCATGCATGGAGGATAAAGCTCCCAGTGGCTACTAGCCATGGTGGGGCAGTGTCCTGTCTCCAGGACCAGAGGCAGCGTTGCCTCTGAAGATCAGTCCCCGGAGAAGAACAGCAGGAGAAGGTTGGTGGTAGGCATCTCAGAGGGATCTGATAGGCTACTGTGGGTCAATAGTTTGCAGGACTAGATAGGCCTTGGGTCCAATCCAGCAGGGCTCTTATTAGGTACTTGGGAGGAGGGTGAGGGAAGCAAAAACAAGGAACAGTTCTAAGAGCCCCGCACTGCCAGGAAATCTTGGACTGCATCCCAAAGAGGACATTGTAGGCTTGCTAGCTGCCCCATCAAACACGACACCCCTCCCTTAAAAATGGATTTTTGAAGGCCATCAGCATTTCTAGCATACTGCTGGGCAGATGATGGATGGCAATCCATCCCAACCAGCTGGAGAGAGAAGGGGACGGTTGGCATCGAACGGGCACTCTGCAGACCTAAATCAGTCAACGGCAGAAGCAGGCTGTTCTCTTCTGCAGTCCCAGAGTGCAGGCTGGCCAGATGCTCCCGCTTTTAGCAACCTAACGCCCCCCACCCACCCCCCACAGTCCAATCCAGTAGGGAGCTATTAAGGATGTACTCAGAGGTGTGGGGGGAGGCCCTCCCTCTCTGACCTACATAACCGCAACACCCTCCGTTCAGCGCAGCAGCATCACAAATGAAGCGCCTTCTCCTCTCCCATTTCTGGGGTGTGGGTGTGCAGCTGGCAGCCCCTCCTAAAGACCACCCCCTGGAACACTTCATCCCCCGCCACCTGAGCCACACAGCCAGCAAAGAACCTGCAGAAATAGCTCTTCATCTCTGTGCAGGCAGCTTTTCCAAGTTGGTCAAGCTCAGAATCCAACAGGGGAAGCTCAGTTCTCTCGTCCTCTCCAGCTGCCTAGTTGTTGCAATGTGGAATATTTTTTTTCCCCTCCAACCTTCCGTACTGTTCTGCCTCGGCCTTCACTGCCAGTGTATTTGTGTGTGTGTGGTTGGTTGTTTTTTAAAAAAAAATGCTTGTAATGTTACAAAACAACAAACTGCCCAACTGAAGCCATATGCACCTTTGCAAGGAGACTCCTACGTCCCACTGTTATGGTCATTAATGCCTGCTCCTACTTTTGCAACATGCCATCGCTGCCTTTGCCCAGAACGGCAACAAGACAATAGATAGACGCCCTTGTTAGCGCCCCGCGCCCCGCCCCCGCCCCGTCAAGACCGACTGCCTTTCCGGGAGCGTCCAAAGGCAACGGCTCTACTTTGCCAGATGCACGGATGATGCGAAGCAGCGGCTGGCGCGATCGATGCCTGGGTGGGATGGAAGCCATGTGCTCTTATTTATTATTGCCTGGCCCCTCCCAGGCCGGTCCCCCCGCCCTAGTGTCCCCTGTCACTGCAACATCCGAGCTTCCAACTCCTAGGACACCACTGCGGCCAGAATTCAAGGAGGGGGCAGAGTAGTTGTTGTGATTTAAAAAAAAAAAATGATGGAGAAATTGGCCCAGCCACCTCCTTGTACAAGAATCTGCTGCTCGCCCACCCAAACAAAGCCAGCGACGCGACCTGCAGGCGGCCCTAGCGGGTGCCAAGCCCACGCCGCCTTGGCAAGAGGCGGCTAGCGGAGCCGGTGCCATCGCCCTCTGCCCCTCGCCTTGCCAGCCTTGCGTCTGTTGCTGCGGCAGCGTCCCTAGCCAGCCAGGCAGCCAGACCCACTCGGCTTGTTGATGTTGCTGGCAAGGCGAAGTACCCACCCACCCAGCATCGCCTCCTTTCTTCCGCCACCCACCTGCCCCTCCCCGCTCTTAAGCGCCCGCTCACTCCCAATGTGGGTGTGTTTGCATACATTAGATCTGGCAGCGTTCCTGCAGCTTTGCCACCCCACCCCAGACACATCAACACAGCAGTCTGGGCGGCTGCCATCGCCTCTTATTCCCCACCCAGCGCCCAGCCACCCTTCTCTCTCTCCCCCCAACCCTCGAAAAACAGAGTAGGGACCCCTTTGGCTTCCAGGGTGTCCCGGCCAACCGCCTTGCCCCGTTATTGGACAAGGATGGGGACATCCCTTCCAACGCCCTTTTAAAACAGGTGGGCCGCCTATTAAACGGGCCATCCGTTCATCCCAGGAGATTGGCTTTTATGGTGCGAGAATATCCCTTTTACAGAGGGAGGGAGGAAGGAAATCAGGCAGGTTGCATTCGAGGGGGGGGCACCCCTTCTCTCGAAAGAGCCAGGCGATTGGCCCATTTTGGCACACTGGAGTCGGGAGACTGGCACATTTTATCGCACGCTCCCAGAAAAGGATGAGGGACCGTCTTTTGTGGGATAGCGAAAACCGGCAGCCTCGATTGACTTAAACGCGGAAACCCACCGTGACAGAAAAAATAAACATCCCGCAGCCCCACAAGCCACAACGGACGGTGCGGCGCTTTCGCGATAAATAAATAAAAATATCCCGCACATATGATGCGCATCTATAGGTTCCCACCGCAGCCCCGAGCCACGGAACGCGATCCCCAAAGACCCTCTTGGCTATTTAACCCTTGCCATCCCGGACCATCCTTTGTTTCTCTCCCCGCGCCTTAAATATATATATATATGTGTGTATATCCAACACAATAATACACATCGATGCCTTATCGCCCACCACCACATCCTCAATCCGCTCTCTCTCTCTCTCCCCAGTCCCCCTTTTAAAATAAAAAGGATGCCTCTTGCTAGGCAGAAACTCACGATCGTGAGACAGGTTCCCTTGGCTGGCGGCGATCAGGAAAGACCCCAGGAGGATTAAGACGTTGCAAGCCGGAGAGAGCATCTTGGGGAGGGTGGGGGGTCCCGGTGGTTGCCTTCGGGGGGAGGGAGGGGGAGGAAGAGGGAAGAGGAGGAAGGCAGGAAGGCGAAGGGGGAGAGGAGGGGAAATCGTCCTCTTCCTGGGTTTCTAGCAAACTTAAAGTCCTTCCCCCTCCCCACTGGGGGAAAAAGGGGGGAAATCAACGCTGGCGCGCTGCCTCTTTAATTCTCCCCGGTGGATCCCTCTGTCTCGCTCTCTCTCTGGATCCAAACCGCAGTGGCACAAACCCCAGGCGCGGAGAGAGGCGGGCGGGCGGGCGAGCGAGGGGCCAGGCAAAATAGATGCTGCTGTATTGACTAAAGAGGGAGAGAAGGGATGCGGCAGTAGCTGGGATTAAATAGAGCACCAGGGCGAGACCATTCGGCCTCGGAGGAGGGGGGAGGACGAGGAAAGACGGGAGGGAGAGAGAGGAGAGGAGAGGTAGGAAAAAGGAGAGGGGAGAGGAGAGACGCCAGCCTCCCCTCCCTTACCCCACCCCCTATACCAGTACAAATTTAGGAGGGGGGGGCTTGGAATGGAACTGGAGAGAGGGGTCAGGAGCTTGCAATGTTTTGCACCGGTTCCACCCCTCCCAGTTTCAGAGCTTCCTCCCTGCAGGCAGGTCTAGCTGGGTACCCACATTCTCTCTTGTTGTCCTCCCCGCTCCCCCTCCCCCTTTTTAGAGCAGAGTTGGTGCAGTCCAGATGGCTCCGTTCCCCCGAGGGAGTGGAATGCTGTTGCTGATATCGGGGTTGCTGCTGCTGATCCCCCCAGGGTTGGATATTGGAAGAGCAGCCCTCCCCGTCCTCCAAAAAAAAGGGGGGGCCGAGAGGAGCTCTTGTCCTGACCGCTGGGCGGCTGGCCACCTTGATGGCAAAGGACAAACAAAGCCACTTAGATCTGACCATAGGAGCCAACTCCTAGGGGCCGAGGGGTCTTCGCCCCCCCCCAATAAAATATGTGAGGGGGCCCGGCCCCCCAAAGTTGATAGTGTGAGTGCGTGCACCGTGCCATGTAATCGATTATGCTGGGTGGGGTTTATCTCTCCCCCCCCAAAAATATTTTATTCAGGTTGGTACCCTGGATCCGACCCTCTCCAGGCTGGAAGGTGTGACTTGTGGCCAGATTGAACCCACTAATTTGGAGCCAAGCTGAGAAAGGGTGTGTGTGTGTTGGACTACAGTTCCCATCATCCCTGACCATTGGCCATGCTGGCTGGGGCTGCTGGGAGTTGGAGTTTAGCAGGATCTGACTGACCACAGGTTCCCCATTCCTGGGTGCAGAATACATTGCCTTCAGGAGCAGGGCCGGGCTTGCCTTAGGGCAAGGAGGTTATTTGTCCCAGGTGTCAAAAAAAAGAGTCAAGTAGGGCTTGTTGCCAGATTAGCTGCAGCTGGACTCACCTAGGCTCAGTCTGAACTGGGTTGAGAGGCCTGGATTCAGCCCTTGAACACCGACAGCCTGACCCTGAGTGTGTTTGCTGGAAAGTAAGCTCCCACTGTGTGGGTACATGGCATACAGTACATCAGAGGTAGTAGGGCTGGAGGGGAAAGACGTCAGTCTGAAACTCTGAACAGCTGCTGCTCATCAATGTAGACAATGCTGAACTCAATTGGACCGGTGGTTTGGCTCAGTATAAGGCAGCTTGCAGTTTTTCTAAGTGTGTTCCAGTTCCATCCTTCTCCTACACTGGAGATGCAGGCCAAGAAATAGCAATCAGGGCAGGGCTATGCAAAAATCAGGAAGGAGGTGCCTCTACTATATGCAGACCTTAAGAGTTCAGGGGGCTTCCACTGAGCTGTAAAATAATTCTACTACTACTACTTTGACTAAATATTTATTTATTTATTTATTTGCCACCCATCTGACTAGGTGGCCCCAGCCACTCTGGGCGGCTTCCAGCAAATTA